TAATTGACCATACCAATGAACAACAACAGTGCTGCCACTTTATTGTGATGAATTCAAGTGTGCACACAGTAGATGCCCATCCTCCAGAAACTTGTGAATGATAGGAACAGCAAATGTGAACGAGTCAACTTGATGAAGAAAGAAAGTCATCGTGCTGGCGCGTGGTCGATGCCAGATGGTCTGGCCACTTCAGTTTCCACCGCCGGAGAGCCGATCCCGAGAGCGATGCGAGCAATCTCCTCGAAGTCTCGCACGAAGTAGATCGTGAGATTACTCTTAAGATACCTGAGAAACGAGTATCAGGGGTTCTCCAGCAGAACTCCTACAAGCCATCGGAAACCTAAACGTGAGAGAAAACTCTCACACGATGTGAGCCACAATCAACATGATGATCGAGTACGTCACGATTGTCTAAACGAGTGTTTAACGGATTAATAGACTGACTGGCGACTCCAAAGGGAACGACGGATCGAATCACTTCCAAGAGCTATTAACAGTTAAGCATTCAAACATGCGGGGGATCGCCAAGACGAACTAATAATCCGGTCGCGACTATACACACTCTGGTAGCTCTGCTGCATCGTGTTTATTCTGTAGGGGTAAACACAGTGTCGTGACACCAGCTCGAACGGCAGCAATTGCCTTTTCCTTCACTCCTCCAATGGGTAATACCAAACCTGACAACAGACAATACACCGAAGAGACAGCGTGCATCCAGGTTGTTACCACTGAGCGAGAGCTCTCCAGTCATCGCTAAATTGTCCTTGACTGACCTCTGTAGAGCCTGCAAAGACATCAACCTCGGTATCGCGAGAGGCGCTCCAACTCACCAGAGAGCACAATGCTGTAGCAATGGTTACACCAGCCGAAGGGCCATCCTTTGGAGTAGCTCCTTCAGGGAAATGCAAATGTATCTTCGTCGTATCGAAAAACTTAGAGTCGGGTTGGATCGAATGAACAACCTGATCACCAGACCCACTCCATGAACCTACGCAAGAGAGCCGCTCACTCTCTTAGCCACTGTGAGAGCTATCTTAGTAGACTCCGACATGACCTCCCCTAACTGTCCGGTTATCTCAATCCCACCTTTAGATTCATTGCTCGGGACCTGACCCCATCATATAACAGAAGACTGATCGCAGCCCCGACATACCACGACAGTCTCCGTATATAAAACTGTCCCTCCCATCGCCGTCCAAGCCAGTCCCATCACGACTCCTGGAGGAGATGCACCTGCGTACACTAGCTCAACAAGGCTCTAAGAGTAGGAAAGTCAACACCAGCCACCTTCAAAGAGGCGTTCGCTCGTGAATGCAGGTTTGCCAACTAGATCGACCAGCCGCTTGGGAGTGATGATACAGTCGACATTCTCAGGCACCTGAATAATTATAAACTTCTTCACAACACCACATTGGCATACATAAGTTTGATCGTGCAAAGAACGGATAGAAATCTGAATTGTCGCCCATGAGAAAACGCCACAAATTGCGGCAGATGCACATTGCTATCATTTCGATATCCTAAAATCGATATTCACCTTCCGAAACAGATCAATACCTTACCCCATATACTATACATTATAAGAGTTTGATTTACACCGTACAAGCACGACGACAATAAGATCATATTTTCATAATAACAACTCAGCTACACTATCAAAGCTGTTAATGAGAGAATTCAGTAGCGGACATTGACCACATACCTCTCTCATCAGCTTATCACATCCAGTCTCCCTATTCACGTCCCATAACAACGACGGG